CAGACTTAATGTTTTTTGACAAATTATCTGCGATGCCACTGGACACTTTCCAAAAGCACATTCATACACACGCTCACACGGACAGAGAGTTTTGGTCGTGGGATAAAGCTTTTAATCACTGTTTTCTGGCAACTGACCATACATTCCAGATCGAGTTTGGCCTTTTTTTACACATCTGATCTCAACTGTGGCTAATTTAGGCACATGATATTGGGTGTTTAACATTTTTAGGCACAAGACTTTTCCATTAACATGTGATGACATCAAGAGCTGGGACGACATTTTTACAAGGCCTGTCTCCCATCATCGTGGATGATTTTCATGCAGTTTGACAAATATCACTTCCACATTGGCAAACACGCTAATGTGTACACTGCTTTCCAAGAAGACCCTCTTACATTGTGTATAACGCAGTATATTCGCACTACTCTCCTTGAAAATAATTACTATTGACTTCAGGGGCATTTCCCACACCCCAGTTCAGGCTGACAAGAAAGAAAACAAGAGGCAGAATAATTACCAAACAAATCTCAGCAAACCGCTTCGAGAAGCAACTGGGATGGAATGTGCTCGCTGCACGAACAACTTTCCTTTTACAGCACGGTCCTCCTCCTCTTCTCTGAATGCGAGGCTTCACATGGGACATGACTGGCTATGTCAGGCAGGGAGGGTATATTTATGATCCAGTTGAGTTGTCCAGAAATATTACAAATCTATTAGTGCCCACAGCACGTCGGGTGAGTGCTGTGGCATACGTTTGAAATGTGCTTGTACGATAAAGTGGCTTAATTTGTACCCACATGCCCCTCAGCTAGTTACATGGTTGGGTTTGTTTTCTTGGTGGTGGGGTTATTTTTGAGAAAGGAAATGTGCTTTGTTTGTGAAAGCCATGTACCGAAGAAAAAGCAGTTCTGTTCCACGCAACGCATGGGCAGGAATGCTAGATGTTATTCAAAGAGGCAGGAAATGAAAGGATTTAGTGTTTTTGTGTACAAATGCAAGAAGCTTGAAAAAATAAGGATTTTCACTTAAAGTAATCCTGGTTTTTATAGCTGGATAGCTACTGTGGTGGTAATTATTTCAGACAGTCTGCCTCAGCTGGAGTCCAGGCTAAGTGGGGGGTACAAAATTGGCATTTACCATTCTGGCAAACTTGACCGGTATGTCTGTACATGCACATGGACAGCCCTTTTTACAATCTCCTGCTAGATTAGGGCCTCCCCACACCATGCAAATCATAGGGGTTGTTTGACCATACTTCGGGTTGGTAAAGGTGGGGAGTATGACACAGGAACATATAAATACAACTCAACAATGGATTTTGCTGCAATGCCATTGGCTGTCCACCACATAGCATGTATCAAGGGGGAAAAAATGATACCTGTAGCTAGCTGAGGAATGGCCTGGGCCGTCACTGTCATTGTCAATAGGTGACATGCATGTCACGTGTTTGGTTATAAGCCCCATCTAATTGTGGTCCGGATGGATGGTCCTCGTACACTGGAAGTGATGGAAATTTAAGTCAAGTGTAGAAAAAAAGCAGGGATGATAAATGTTATGTACGTTGAACTTCTTTTGGACCGTACGTAACCAACCATGCTAATCGCAGGAGCGGGGGAAGGACAAACTAAACACAAAAATAAGTTCTAAAAAGTGCATAGCTCCAGTGGCTTCCTAATATCGGATGGCCACAGAAGCACAACTGAAAGTGCGTGATGCATGATCTTTGTTCGATGGCTATCAAAACACCGCTGCGGGCATGACCGGACTTTGCATGATTGTTTATGCTCCTTGACGAGATCAACAAGGTATTGTGGTTGATTTGGGGCAATCGCTTAGTGTGCAATGAGTGTGACCTTATAATGTATTCGTTCACCAACTGGAAAGTTCTACGTTTCTGAGATGAATTAAGGTGATCTAATTTTTTTGGAAATAGACTTTCAAGTCCGAGGGCATTATGAGGAAAATGATAAAGTCAATAAATAATTCTTTCTTGCATAAATAACCCTTGCAGAACACATTAAGGCACCTCAATGAATGCACTTTTTTAGTATACAAGACTGAGCGATGAAATAACATGCTCACTTCAAGTCTTTCATAAAATAAAACGAGGTACAGAGTAGAAACAGTGGGAGCAGTAACACAATGGTTAGCACACTGCGCTATGAACTTAGCGACCTTAGTTTAATTCCTGGCCACAGCTAGCATCAGTAGCAAGTGATGTCTGACCAGAGTCCTGGACTGCTCACTAACCAGTGTCATGGGGAATGGTCAAACAAACCCTCATGCCGGTCACAGCATGGAGAGGCTTTCATCCGGCAGTGAATTGACAAAAAACTGGAGAAATATCACTTGTTTTTCTTTTTACAGGGCAATTTGCATTATACTGGTAGGAACCACCTGGTTCCACCAGCCGACAGGGGATTATTGTGTCCGTCCGTCGTGCATCCAAAAATGGTAGGGCTCAGGCTGGGTGGAGAGGGGAGGGTGGGGAGGGGTTGGTTGGGGAGGGTGGGGCTGGGTGGGCGCTGGGTGGGGAGGAGCTGGGTGGGGGGTGGGAGGGGTGGGGCTGGGTGGGGAGGGGCTGGTCACCCCGTGGTGCCCTTATAAAACTCAACGTTTAACCTACTCACGCCGGCTTGTGCCCACCCTCACAGTCGGCCATATTTGCGGAATACACCACGCCGCCGTTGACCCTGGCCATTGACCGAGCAACCCAACGTTCCTACCAGCTCCCTCCGCAGGAATGTGTTTTCACAAATTAAATGCACAGGATATTTTACAAAATTTAATCATTTTCGGACATATAGGTAATCAAAAGCAGGCAGTCTAGATACTGCTGGATGAAGGCCTCCCACACAGTTGGGAGACCATATACGTATACAGTACAGATCGTATTTATGAACAGATGAAATGAGATAAGTCATATACTTTCTCAGCGGTATCGTTTCATATTAAAACTAGGCAGGCAAATGGATTAATACATAGGCATCAGAGTCTACTTGTAAAAATTTAATTCATACTAAATCTTCCCTGCCGAAATATTCAAGTGTTCATGTTTTTTTTATCTTTCAAATATCTTTAAAAATACTGCTTTTAAAATAAACATCCAGTTTCTATTCCAACCCCCCCCAATCGCATTATAATTCCCGTGGCAATGGTCTTTATATATATAGAAAATGTCAGGAAATTTTTTTTCCGTAAATAAGTCTAAAACAACGCGTAAAACTTTCCAGGTGGAAAGTTTAAGATCTATCCTGCATCGATCCAAATGATCAGTGACGAAAAGTTAAGATTCATGAGTGACAAACCAAGACACTTAATGGCAAATCATTATTTAGCCATTTTTTATATCACACAGTGTTAATACAGCCTGCGCACAGACACTTATAACATATTTTTCCATTATTATTCTACACACTCGGCTGCACGAGCAATTTACTGGCAAGGTGCTATGTGTCGTGCATGCCAAGATCCCCTGGAGTTGATTCAAGCCGCATATATTTCTCACCAACACCTGAAGAAACACGTTTGTATGTATTTTAGTCTATTAATAATGAACATGGCATGAGGAGAGGGAGGGGGAAGTCAGCGTTTGCAAATCCAAGACATGTAACAAGTGAAGGTGGGAGCAAAATAAACAAAGTAAAATCTGCGTGTCCAATTCTCTCTCTCTGCCTTTGGCAGAAACATTGACCACACCCAAAGCAGACGTCACTTGGGAATGTATTCTGGTTTTTTTGAACTTGGCTCACACGTGGGCTCTCCCTTCCCCCACCAGCAAATGCATTCACGTCGCGAAATCACGTTGGCGGTGTCGCACGTCGGAGAACACCGCCTCGCCATTCTTTTTTTTGCGAGATGACAAAATTGGGAGCTTTTTTTTGTTTTACAGGTGGCAGGAGGGTGCCAACAATGGCAGTGGCACATGCTAGCGTGGTCTCCGTGGACTTTCACCCGAGCAAACTTTACAAGAGAAAATAAAACACGAAAAGAACCCCCCCCCCCCCCCCCCACACACAAGCTCATGTTTTCAGCTCTCCATCAAAATGTCCCAAAGGCTCTCTCCTCTCTCTCTCTCTCCACCAACAACTTCCCAAACTCCCCATGCCTGCCACTACCCCCCTCCCCTCCTCCCTCCCTCCCACTGCACACGGCTGCAGCCCCCTCCATTCCAAGTGCCTGGAGATATCAGCAGCTATGTGGCCCTGGCACCCTGTCAAGCATTAACTGATGCACAGCCACTTTAAAGAGGCAACTGAGCAAAACAAGCCCTCTTCATCCCCCCCCCCAGCCCTCGTCTCCCCCCTTCCCCACCATCTCTCAGGGGAGCTCAGCCAGCCAACTAATCTAATTGGTTCCATCAAGGTAGGGAACTTTTTTCTTTGCTTAAGGTTCCACCCCCCCACCTTCCTTGCCACCCACCAACCCCCACTACCCTCCTCCCCTCCCCTTCCACCAAAGACGAAGATCCCCCATATAGCCTGAACAGACTGTTGGGGCAAGTGCTGTTAGTGCGCACCTATGAAGGCCGGCACGTGGCACACGAGGGGGTGGTGGCCAAAACCACGCCCGGCCACCTTTGTCTCCCCAGCGGTGGTGTTTACACACCACACCAGCTACTCATTTGAGGCCGAGTCGACCAAGCGGAGCCCCATAACCGGTTCAGATAATCGTCACCGGTGTTGGCCACAAGCGGGAATCGAACTCGGGTCGCCGGGGGTTCGCAGCGCCGCTAACCGCTCCCATTGTGTCCCCTTTCACCACCACCAGCAGCCCCCCCAAACACCCCCCCCCCAGCCTCAACCCGTGTCCTCTCCTCCTTAGCGTCGAGCCCCCCCCCCACCACCACCACTCCCGTCCTCAACTCAGCCTTCATTCAACGACTCCTCTCTGCAGAGGGCGAGGCGGAGCCAGGGCTAATGAGATGTAGGGGGGGGCGGCTGCTGCTGCTGCTCTGGAGGGAAGGGTGAGGTGGGTTTTAAAAGCGTGTGCGCGTCTGAGTGGCACGGCAGAGCTGTCACGCTGCTGCTGGTGGCACGCCACGTGAAAGTCCACGCAGCAGCAGCAGCAGTAGCAGCAGCTGCTGCCACTGGGAGGACCGCACGGACATCCCCTGGCCCCTCCGGCCGTCTTCGTCGTCGTCGTGACGAGCGGCAGCTTGGGCAGCCTTGACACAAGGCTTGGTGTGTGCTGCGAAAGAAGACGTCGTTCAACATGCGCCACTTGTTCGGTGTTTAACGCCACCTGTGTGGTTTGTTTTTGCGCGCAAAGGGGACCGAGCATCGAGGATTCGTGACTGGCGAGAGAGGCTTCGCAGCTGTTTCGAGAAGCAAAAGTGTTCTTGTTGTTGGAGTAAAGAGGGAGTGGGTGGTGGGGGGAAACAATGGATTAAAGTAATTAACGACCGGCCCAAGCCTGTAATGAAACAAACAGAAGGATAGGGAATATCAATCTGCGGCAGGATGCTTTGGGAAAAAGCAAGTTCGAGGTAAGTTATGATCTTCTGCAATACTGTGATGTTGTCCGTGTTGTATTGGTGACACAAATGCATGGTGTACACATCAACAGCAGCTGTAAATGTTACACGAGACTATATTGTGTTTAACAACAATGTGCATAGCCCTTAGTTGGTCATCACGCGATCAAGTGAAATATAAACTTGAAGGGATCAATGGAGTTGAACGATATATACTATTTGAAAATGCATCTCATTGGATTCAAGATACTCGTGAGCGCATTGGGGGTAAAACGGCATTAATGACTCCAGGTCATTAGCAAGTAGTACACACACATACAAAATATATTCTTTCATGGACGTTTGTGTTTCATCAAGTTCAGCTTTCCAAAACCACACTGACCTGCTCTCATCCGCTTATTCATGTATAATCAGTTTAAATTCGGCCTGCATTCGCAAGGTCTCCAAGGTGCATGCATTCTGCTGCGTTTTCGCGTTTCGTCCTGGATTGAAATTAACGCTCATCGACTTGTAACATGAGATTTCCAAAGTCTGAACGTTGGTTTTTTTAAAGGCATAAGTGATTTCATGAGCTTTTGGATAAACAGAACTCTGTCTCGACTAATGAAGGCAAGTGTCCAATCATAGTACACATTTATAGTGCGTATTAGATGTTATTCTTCATATGGCTTCGTGTTAAATCGAATACAAGAACCGTATTCTTTCACGAATCAAGCACACAATTGAAAGTTCTGACCTCTAAGCTACACGCATGAAGATACATCCATTACGATGATTTGCAATGCACGAAACACTGCAAATGAATGCGTGAACATCTCTGTGCAACGATTTCTTTAATATTAAGATGAAAACTCAATAACTTTATTCGTCATTATCAGCCACGGTCAACTTCACCATTGAGTGAAGTCCTCCCCAAGCCGTCACCAATCTCCCACAACACAGCGGATGTTAACAATCCAGACAGTACCTGCACAAGAGCCGATTTCATTGCTTCCTCTCGTCCACGTTTGAAAATCCTCTCTCTACGATGCGTCCCATTGCTTTGCTGCTTCTCTTATCACTATTCTTGACCATCAGCCTTCATCCCCTTCTTCCAGCGACCTGTTCTGCCCAAGCCCACTTGCTTTTTGCTTTCAATAGTTTTAATGAAGCCATTTCGCTGTGTACCTTCTCCAATCCATGCGTTCCTATTTCTGTCTCTCAATGTTAATTCCAAGCACGCACGTGTCCATGCTGAATTGCGCATGTTTACGTTTGTTCCCTTTCTTTGTGAAGGACCATGTTTATGAACCAAACATCATAGTGGGAAGTACACAATTATTAACAAACATTACCAGGATTTTCTTCCTCAGTCTCACCAATGTGATAGCAAGCAGCGTGACATGTTAAAATTTCTTTCCATGCCCACATTCCTAATTTTGCTCTCCGAGCACGAAAGGTCAGCATGTATAGTTGATGTTTTGAAGTGAACATATACATGAGAATGTTTATGTTAAAACATCACCACACTCAAAAACAAGGTCTGTTTGGAGGCACAGCAAATAAACAGAAACTCAATATCTCCTTTGCTTTAAGCTCTGCAGCTGACACAATGCACAACTGAGAAAAAAACGAACCATGAGTGTTTTATCAACATGGCATTGTTGATGTATTTTCACGGTTAAGCAGGGATACTTTTTGTAGCAGAGTATAAAGTTTTAAAATGCGCTTTCCATAAAAGCACGTCACTTTGACATTGTAAATACATTTATTTACAGCCAATTGTCATTACATTTCAAGTTTTTTTTGTACCATATATCTGCCACGGTGGCGAGACGTTAACTACCTTGCCTAGTATGCAGGAGATTGTGGGTTCGATCCCGACCCTGACGCCTGTATATTTGGAGTTTGCATGTTCTCTCCGTGATCGCGTGCATTTTTCCCTGGGTCATCCGGTTTTTCTCTCCACATTTATAATCATGCGTTTAGAGTATTTGGCTGCTATACATTTCCAAATGATAAGCCACTTCGTTGGGCTATAATTTAAATGATATAAGTTAAATACTTAAAGCTGGCCAGTGGGGGTTGCTGAGCGAGAGAAAACACGACTTGTCCAGATATCACTCGCCGCTGACATTAACCGTGGTCGGGAATGGAACTCAGGTGGCCGGGTTCATAACGCAGCACGATGACTACTGTGCCAGTTATTAAACTATGCCACTGCAATTGGAAGCAGTTACAACCATTAAGGCTGATGGACTGCTTTTAACGTTCATAATGCTTTCAGAGAGATTTGTAAACAGAGCAATGGAATAAAAGTCAAACCCATAAAATAAATCTTTTCTAAATTCTCTTCAGATTTCAGTCTAATTTTCTATGAAGTCACGGGCCATGATTGAACAAATAAATACTTAATTTTACACAGCCAAGATTAAGACACATTTTTAAGTATTTTAATTGGTTTAACACTTTGTAACCAACGATGTGCTAAAAAAAAGTTTCAAAAGGCCATTACAACAATTCACGTAACACCTAGCACAAGAAAAACATTCACTGACACCGCAAGATGAGAGGCAGCATGATTGTGAGCGGTGATGCACAGGGTTTCTCTACAAACCGTCTTCCGTGAACCCCAAAACCACCTTTGCCAGGTGCAGCACAACCCAGTTCAATGCATTGTGAAGGCAGGACAAGTCATGAGAACTGTCGAGAGATGAGAGACAACATGAACTCCGGATTGGAGGCCACGGCTGGACAGGAACAACTAAGAAAAGGAATAAATGGAGAAGCAGGGGAAGACCTTTGCCTAGGAGTGGGAAGCGAGAGGCTGACAACAAGAAGGTAAAAGTGAAATAGAATAGACGAAACGGATCAATCTCTGGCATGTTTGGCAGCTCACAAGTATTTTGTTTCTGTAGCTCAAGGCAGTATTACGCTGTAAATATCTAAAAATATATATTTCTGTTGACTGTTGACTTCAGGGCACTTCCATTGCCAGATTACGGGAACGCAATGTTTTCAGTTTTTTTATGCATTCAAAAAGATACATTTGCATAACACTTCAACTTATAGCCTGGCTTTTCTATAAGCAGTTGGCTGGCACCTCGTTGCGTAACTATTGATTTACGGCTCGTGTAACTGAACACTCAACGAAACGATTTACGCAGCGAACCAAAAACTCTCTGGTTACAAATAAAGTTGTAACGCTGAACGTAAATTCATCAATCGGTATACACAAATATCAAGATACATGCATCTAATCGCACGTGTAAAAATGTATGTTTAACTCATGTATGCAGTAAGGTGTTTTATGTGACCCCTCCAACCACTGGAGGCCAAGACATTTTCCATAATGTACAAAAATGTATTTATGACCCTGAATAGAAACAAGCTATTGAATTGTGATGGCAGCAATTTGTTATCCAACCCCAAGTATCAAAGCAATGCATTACATGAGTGAATAACATTAAGTTATATTCTTTGGTTCTTTTGGTAAAGTCATGTAGATAAAAAAAATAAACATAATAAAAATTAACAAAAAACAAAAACTCACGACGTTTTGATCGCAAAACAAGCGGTCGTCATCAGGCGGAGAGAAAAGTCGTGAGTTTTAGTTTTTTTGTTAATGTTTATTATTATCTTTATTTTATTATTATCTATCTACGTGACTTTACCGAAAGAACCAAAGAATATGAATTCCTGCAGTCACAAAAGTGAAGTCAAAATTTTACGTAAAGTTCTTGAAGAAACACGACATTTTATTAATCACATCCTTTTATATTGAGAGACCGGAAGAAGAAAATGTGGATGGATTAGAGAACAAGTTAATGATATCATATTCACCATTAAGGAAATTAACGTACTTGACTGGGAAATCACTACTTAAAGGGAAGATGACCAATGGTTGCAGGTCAGGCTAGAAAGAAGATGATGGACGTTGGTCAAGACAAATGGCAGCATGGTCGCCTGAGAGCGTGTCCATTGTGGAGATGGAGTGATCAAATCAGCTTGTGTGCAAAAGATAGACGGATTGTTGCATCGCAAGACCTCGAGGGATGGTGATGGCTTTTGAAGGCCTGCATCCTGGCAGTAGATATAAACATGGATGTTGATGATGATCTTGGTGATGTCACCCTTTAATACTTTGACGGAAATATTAACTAAATTAGTGTATTGCAAGCAGAGCCCAAAAATGTTGTTTGAATAAAGCGCACACAGACGTGTGTCGCAAGCAAGGCCAACAATGAATGTGAACATCTGCAGCACGAGATTTTATCACCGTGCACTTGACAGGAAGTGACCTCCTCTAACTTCAAAAAAAAGCTGCAATCTGATGAAAGCCTGGCATCCAAAACCGTTTGAACCGGGCGGAGATCTCACTGCACGCCACTGTGCGTCGACAGATAAAGCCTTCAGGGGAACAGCCAGAAATATGCAACCAGGCCATGAAAACAGTGCGTGCTACCGCAAAAACCGCACATCTAAACCGTACGGCCACCAGCGTCAGATGATGCCACCTTGACGTGGCTCGAGAGCAAACGATGTTTATTCATGGGTGTGTGCAACTAAACGGTGTACTGTATATCTATATCCACAGCACGGTACCCATCCCAATATCAGCAGCAGAAGCATCAGTAAGGAACCATGGTCAGTCAATCAAGCCCGCTGCCAACGTGCAAAATTTGAAATAAAAATCGTCAAAAAGTCTAAATATCGTCCTGCCCAAACCCAGGGATGCTAAATGTATGGGAAAATGTCAAAACTGGGTGGTTTTTAACTTTTGCCGACAAAACTGGATCCCAAATGTCAAAACTGGGTGCACCCTGGGTGGCCAAAAACTTGAGTTTTGGACACTCAGGGTGCACCCAGTTTTGACATTTGTCAAATACACTTGATAATTGTATACTAGCACAGTGTGCCAGCACCCCATTCATCCAAACACTTGGTATTTGTATACTGGCACACTGTGCCAGTATACATATGGCAAGTAAGTGTTACTGTAGTAGCGAGCTGGCACACTGTGCCAGTATACA